ACAACAACTACTACAACAACAACACCGGCTGCAGCAGAAATCTCCATTCCAAAGGTAATCAACTAACCCTGTTGTTTCGAGTAAACTGAAGTTTATGAATTAGACCTAACTTTTGTCTAACCCTTTTTAGACTAGCAAACTCCCACCAACAACTCCCAAGAAACGGAAACAAGGCCCTACTGACAGGGACCCCAACGCTGATGCAAATGAGAAGGGACTTTAACTCGGTGTTTGATAAATTTATTGTTGCTCTTTTTGTTCTGACATGCGTTCTGTATTGTTGTAATTTGTTTTCTCAGGGCTTTGCCCGTTTATGTAATTTTTAAACAACCGTGGTCCTTGTGGTCACACGTTCGTTTTGTTTGATTGGGGGCCTTGGGCCCCTGTTATGTAATCTTACGTACAATTGTGGCCTTTGTGGTCGTCTTTATATTTTTCGACCGTGGTGGTCGTTTGTTTTATTATGCATCGTTTAAGCGTTTTCAACTTTGTTTGTGCATGATTTATTGTCTGTTTTGATAGCGTGTTTGTATGCCCTTCTGTTTGAGACGTTTTTGTATTGACGAAGATTGTGGGGGGTTTGCTCATTAGTTTTGAGTTCGCCGGTGTGGGGAAATTGGTCAAATGGCCAGGGTGGTTTTCGGGCATGGGCCAGAATGCAGTTCTCGTTTAGAGGACCTGAGCTCGGCGGCGTGAAATTCCCATCGCTAGCTGGGTGTTCTGCCATCGTGGTACAACAATAATGGAGCTTGTTTAAGTTTTCCATGTTGGGCCAAGTATCTTCTCATAAAAAAGAGTGGAGACTTTCCTTTTCGTTTAATTCAGAGTGCTATGCTTGTACCTGTGCATGCACGCATGGCCGAGACTAATGTGCTCGTCATTTCGATAAAGCATGTCAACTATTTTAGTTTCTTAACTATAATATTGTTTAAGTTTTTTGGAATTCCATGGTTGAGCAAGTTGTTCCCCATTTAAGTTTTCTAAGTAATAGGCCACGATACCCGTTTTTGCATGGAGGCGGTATGGCCTTCCCAGTTCACGGCAAGCTTGCCCTTGCGAGATTCTTTGTGATTTCTCTTAAGGACCTGGCTACCGACTTCAAACTCTCTTTGTATCACTCTGGCGTCGTATCTTATGGCGATTATCTGTTTGAGGGAAGCTTCTCTTAAGGCTGCCCTAATTCGGACTTCCTCGACAAGGTCGAGCTCCTCCTGTAGGGCCTTGTCGTTCATTTTTATGTCGAGGGGAGCTTTAGTATGCCTTGAAGGCTATCTGATTTCGAAGGGGATGACAACCTCGATTCTGTATGTTAGTCGGAAAGGGGTCTTCCTGGTTGATGAGTGAGATGTCGTTCGGTAGCCCCAAAGTATGTTATGTATCTCTTCGACCTATCTCTTCTTAGTTTTGTCTAGTCTTCATTTGAGACCTCGTAGGATTACCCTATTCGCAGCCTCAGCCTGCCCGCTTGTTTGAGAATGTTCGACGGAGGCAAAGGGCTGGACGGTGCCTAACTATGTAATGAATTCTTGGAATTTCTTGTCCGTGAGTTATGTTCTGTTATCAATGACAATGGCTTATGGTATGCCAAATCTGGCGAGGATGTTTCTTTTATAGAAATGGAGGATGTTTTGCACCATGATTTTGGCTAACGCTTCTGCCTCTATCCACTTGGTGAAGTAGTCAATGGCCACTATCAAGTATTTATTTTGGTTGGTTTTGACCATAAATGGTTCAAGGAGATCCATTCCCCACCAAGCGAAAGGCCAGGAGGATGAGAGAGATTTGAGCTCGTTTGGAGGTGCTAAGTGCATATCCTCGTGAAGTTGGCATTTGTCTCACTTCTTCATATACTCCCTAGCATCGTGTTGCATGTTGGGTCAGTAGTATCCTGCTCGCAATGCTTTCCTGGCGAGGGACTCTCCGCCCATGTGTTGGGCATTGATTTCTTCGTGGATCTCATGTAGGATGCGGGTGACTTTTCTTTCGTCGATGCATTTGAGGAGAGGGATGTAGAACCCTCTTCTATATAATTTCCCTTCGACTATAACGTAGGAGCAGGCTCTCTATTTGACTATATCGGCTTTCTTCTATTTGGTTGGTAGCTCCCCCCTTTGTGAGTTAATTGTATACTGGGGTCATCCAGCAGTTGCTGTCGCTGATGGCGAGCACATCTAGAACAGAGGAGGGTTTTTCGATGCTCGGTAGAGGAAGAACTTCCTCTATTACTGATTTGTTCCCTCCTTTCTTCTTTGTGCTGGCTAGTTTTGACAAGATATCCACTTGAGAATTGTGTTTGCAGGGAACTGAAATAACCGGCTGAAAATAATCAAAGAATGAAGTCACCATCGAACCTCTTTTATCCCACATGAAGGGAAAGGTAAAAGTCGAGAAAACCTAAGAAGGGATAAGTCACGGTCTTGCAACCGATAGATCGGGTAAGGGTTTATGTTATGCGAGAGGAAGGTATTAACACCCCACACGCCCATAGTACTCTTAGGTATCCACTCTTGTTATTTATCTTATGGATGTGTCTATTCTATGCTTACTGCTTATTATTGAGGAATAATGCATACAAAAGAAAAGAGAAAAGAATGTAGGGAAAATAAAGTTATGCTCGATTGGGCCCTACCCCAATGCCTACTTATCCTTTTTGAGGAATCAGAGTTACCGTAGTTCGACTCACATGTTTTTATTTGTTTTATGTTTTTTATGAACCATGTTAATTCCATCTTCTGCCGTAACTCGACCTTTGGAGACTTACGCGTTGACACAGAAGTAAATAAATCATGTCCTTACTGAAAATGGTTTTGAGATACGCCCTTAAAGCAAGATGCCGCATTTGATTGGTTTGTGTTTTGTTACATTGAAAAAAGGGTTTAAGTGTGATTGACATGTTTTATGATTTTCTAAGAAAACAAAGTTTTAATTTTAAATGCAAATGCTAAAAGGAGAAGAATAGAGTCTACGAGAGACTAGTCTATTTCTAATCCTAGTGTTATCATACTATGGTAGTCTTAAGGTCAAGGATGAAAGGAAATATCTACCTAATGTTAGCATGCATGATTTGCAACCTAAGGTCTAACTTGCATCCTAAAGAAAAAAGCACGTCCTAAGGGAGCATGGTATAGAAAGAAAATGAACAAACAATCTCGAAAGAGCACACACATAAAAAGGTAAAGAAAAGAAGCAAAATGATTTAGTCAATGAGAGCGTATCACCCGAGACAAACAAGCGGGAATAAGATGTAAAACAAAAATGTGATGTCCAAAGCGACTGAACACCTAACCAAGATATAGAAGATCGAGGTAAGAAAAAGAAGGCAATATGAATAATCACGGAGTATCAACATCAGCCAATGCGAACTCCTGACAAAATGTGAGGGTTTGATTGCAAAACCCTTCCCCACTTGACGTCTCGATAACAAGAGCAGGCATAACTCCGAAGCATCATGGTGCGTTACGAGCTAAGGATGACATAGACAAAATTGCGGGGGTTGATTGTGAACCCTCCCTGCTCGCCTCTCTTTAAGGACTTATCATCTGTAACATATGCGGGCACAAATATAAACACACGTGCGAAATACCTACTTTAAAGGTAGAAATTTTTAAATAAACACAAATAGCACACAAAAAGCACACAATACGGGATTGCCCTAAACGAGTCTTTAAATAAACCAGAGGGGTTCCTGACATGATCAACAACGGAGACCCCATCATATATCTCTACCCTAATTCTCATGGCAAGAAAAGTAGTAAAGCCCTACTTCTCATGATCTCTAGAAAGGCGGTAAAGAAATGCGATAAAGTGTGGAAAAATACAAAGGTAGTAGTGGCAACTATCAAAGCAAACAAATCGTCTAAAGCAGATGAAAGCGATGGAGACTCAAGGAGTATGCGTCGAGCAAGCTTCACCAAGAAACAAACAAAGTCAGAAACGATATCCAACTAAGGTAAAAGCAAACGCGTGTTGTGAATGCATCGTGTAATCAGAAGTTCCTACATAAAACATCATAAAATATCAGATGCATCTGGACAACATATTATATGATATGGATTTCTCAGGACGATGAGAAATAAGACGTGTCGCATCGGAAGCGAGCATAAGCCATATGCTCCGATCACATAGTAACTTGTTATGTTACATGATCGAAAGCATAAAAATGTACCTTACACAATGAACAAACTCACCAAAAATAACGGTGCTCGACAGTGTGAAAATATAAAGAAAAAAAGTACTTTTTTATTAGTTTTTTATGTGAAGAAAATTCTAAAAATACTAAAGAATTAATAGAAAATTTCTATTAAATTCTACCACTTTTTATTGTTTTTATTATATTTTTTATCATGTACTTTTATTGACAAAAATTATGAAAGAGAGATTATAACTAAAAAGACAAAATGAAAATAGAGGAAATATGGGGTGTAAAGCTGATTCATGGTATATTGTGTAGTAAACCTGGTGCTAGGCCCAACTAACTAGAGTCCATAATAATCATTTTGTTTGTGTATCAAGCTTTTACCAAAAAAAACTAATGAATTGGGCTTAGAGGAAGCAGATTTCGGCCCAGGGTATGAGTTCAGCAAGCATGAGTCCCATGACAGTTTTTGTCTTGTTTAATTTTTGTTATCAGGCTTCCCAAAAAGGTGGCAGTATGGGCTTATGGAGATAGGTAACTCGGTTAATCCATCCCAACAACACATTATACCAGCTTTTACTCAATTCATATTCCTTTATATTCATAACATTCCCTTATTGAAATAATCAAAAAAACAATAATAATAAACAATAAACTAGAATTAAAAAGATGTAAAGAGGAATGACTTAGGGATTCCAAATGTGCCGATTTAACTTCTACAAAGAGAAATTGATCCTCTTCTTCTTCCTCCATTTCAAATCGTGACGACTAACACAATTTCACAGTCTCTCATCTTCGTCCACTGATCACCACCGTGGTTTCATCACCATTCAGTCATCTCAACCTCCTGTCTCCGTTCGAATCAATGTTAGACCTGTGCAAAGGCTTCGATCGAAGCTCCGATCAGAACTACAACTTAGAGATTCAAGATCCAGCAATGGCGGTGAGAATTCGAGGAAGAAAAAATGTGAAGCAAATGCTAGCTAGCCGAAACTAGTAAAAGATAACATCAATCAAGAGTAGAAAGCCTACTGATCGGAGAACTTCCGATGCATTTTTGACAGCGACGAACAGGAAAGAAAACCAGAGATGCCGAATTGTATTTGAGGTATGAAATCTTTGATTCTTCTCTTACGATGCTTCCATCTTCTTCTACCTTTGAGTGATTTATGAGTTGTGTGTCCTTGTGCATGAAGACGATGTGAAGGAAATAGTACTGGTGATGGTGAATGCAGAGAGATGTTGATGAAGATTTAAGGTGCGGAAGAGAAGAAAGGTTGGTTGTGATTTGCAGAGAGAGAGGGAAACGATGGAAGTTACTGAGAGAGAATGAAGATTGAGAGTGAAGGTTGAAGACGATGATGGAAGTTGGAGATTACCGACGATGATGAAAGGTTGATTCTTTTTTGTTATGAATGAATCGTATCCCTCCTCCTCTTTATGTTTTCTGTTATATCTTCTGTTAGAAGTAGTTAGAAGCAGTTAGGGGGTTGGCTTGAGTTTAAGAGTCAGTTAGAAATTTCTGTTAGAGATTAGTTAGGTAGTTTGGAATCTGGTTACAGTTAGTTATTCTATTATGATCTGTTGCATTTTCAGAGAGGGAGGGAGGGAGTTTTTGTGCCTTTTCATTTTTTATTCTGTTATGTGTCCATTAGAAACAGTTAGGGGCTATTCTGAAAGTTAGTTATGGTAGAAAAGTTAGTTGGAACTATTAGCTTGGTTTTGAAGTTTCTGTTTTGACAATTAGATGAGCTAGCTGCTAGTTGGTTAGGAGTTGTTAGAAAATTATTTGGAGTTGGTTATTTGCAAACTGGTCGTTTGTTAGTTTGTAATTCTTTTTCTGATTCCATTTTTGATTCTCACAGCTCTCTCTTCTCCTTCTTGCATCTCTGTCTTCATTCTAAACCGATGCAGCCTGTTTCAATTAGTTTGGATTGGTGATGTTAACGAATGCAGAGTAATTGTTTTGTTTTGAGCTGAAATAACATTGCAACCACTGTTTTTATGTTAATGGCATAATTCTTATTTTCTGATTGTTAAAACACATGCAAGGCCATGGATGTATATGGATTATAAAATCTGTTTTGGTTATTGTGGATGCAGATAATATTAGACACTGGTGGTACAAGAAAGTATATAGCTTAGTGCTGGCATAGTTTTGTACATAGTTGTGACAATTGGGCATGAAGACAAAATGGAGTCTTCAAGAATGAAATGTGAAGCAAAGTGGAATCAAGATGACGAAGAGGAAGTTATGATGAAGCCTAGTTTTGAAATTTAGGTTTAATATGTACTTCCATGTAACTTCCTTGATGTAATGGCAATGTAACCTGATTTTGTGATGGAACCTCCCCATGTAGTGAATTGAATTGAAGTTGTATTTGTATTTTTCTTGTAATGTGACTTTGAAGGTTTAAATGATAATTTCTTCATACATTCAAAGTACCCCTCTTTCAAATTGAAATTCCTTTCTTTTTCTTTTGAATGAACCATGGAAATGTCTTGATAAAATTCATTTGAACTTGACATGATGATATTAGATGGGGCTTGGATGATTTTGAAGTTTGACTAGGTATTGTAGCTTGTGTATTTGTAGTTTTGAATGAAAATGGCTGAATTTTGTTTGATACAAACCACTTTTGTAAATAATCTTTAATCAATGATGAATGACTTAAATCTTGAAACTTGTGTGCCAAGAAAGACATATGAATGAACCTTCCATCTTTAGCAAGCTTGAAATAATTCTTGACAAATCATATGCTTGAGAACTTGGATCCAATCAATTAATTTTGAACAGAAATTTGAATTTGCGAAATCACTTGAATCGACTTCTAATCCAAATCATTTTGAACCCTTAACGTCAATCACTAATCCAAGTAATCTTGTATTACACGCCACAAGCAATTGAAAGAATAAACATGTCTTGAACAAATTGAATCTACGAGTTCATCCCTTACACCATGACTTGCACTTGTATTTCAACTCAACATAACAACAATTCCTTGAGAAATCCCTGAAGATAAGAACTAAGATTTGAAGCATAACAGGGATGAAAACCTTAAATCTAGTCTTTAATTGATGAACCATAAAAAAGTTTAAGCAAAGGACCAAAGCCCTAATTCCACAATATATGCTCAAGAGGAAACTGATGAACCAAGCAGAATTGCTGCGTAAACCTTCAAACCACCTAGAAGCCCTAGCTTCCAACCATGATTATTGAAGAAACTAGTTAAATCAACCTTGAATGAAGATGAGAGCCTAAAAGCATAGAGAACCCCAATTCTTTAAAATCCCTAATGGATGTATGATGAATTTATTTATTAATGATGCATGATGTGTTAAATGACCTAATGGAGGGTAGGTAGATGAAATGAGAAATGCAAGATGCGTAAGCCAAATAAAAAGCAAAAGGGTATGAAAATTTTGGGGTATTACAGTTGTCCCTATTTAATCGTCTTAAACCTGAAAGTACGATTGGCACATGCCTTTCGGACGTTCAAGGTAAAAGATGATTAAATACCAAAGGCCAAAAATTTGTTTTGAAAGAAAGCGTGAGTGTTTACTTATTTTTATTTTTTGTGATATCTGTTGGGGAAAGAATTTTTTTTGTTTTCCAGTGAGAAGATGAAGATTGGACTTATAACGTAGCAATATAGCCTAATATAAGACAGATAGTCTCGTAACATGGCGTGATACCAATACAAGACAAAGGTTGGACTGGTAACATGGCGTCATGCCAATACAAGGACAAAGAAGACTTGTAACATGACGTGATGCCAATACAAGACAAAGTTTGTACTTGTAACGTGGCGTGATGCTAATACAAGGCAAAGAAGACTTGTACTGTGGTGTGGTGCCAATACAAGACAAAAGTTGGATTTGTAATGTGGCATGATGAAAATACAAGGAAAAGGTTGGACTGGTAATGTAGCGTGATGCCAATACAAGAATAAAGAAGACTTGTAATGTAGCGTGATGCCAATACAAGACAAAGATTGGACTTGTAACGTGGCGTGATGCCAATACAAGGACAAAGAAGACTTGTAATATGGCGTAATGCCAATACAAGGAAATGTTGGGATTATAATGTGGCGTGATGCCAATACAAGACAAATGTTGGACTTGTAACGCGGTGTGATGCCATTACAAGGAAAAAGTTGGACTTGTAACGTAGCGTGATGCCAATACAAGAAAATAGAAGACTTGTAACGTGGCTTGATTCCAATATAAGACAAAAGTTGGACTTGTAACATGGCGCAGTGCCAATACAAGGACAAAGAAGACTTGTAATATGACGTAATGTCAATACAAGGAAATGTTGGACTTATAACGTGACTTGATGCCAATATAAGGACAAAGAAGACTTGTAACATGACATGATGCCAATACATGGAAATTTTGGATTTGTAACGTGGCATGATGCCAATACAAGGAAAAGGTTAGACTTGTAACATAGAGTGATGCCAATACAAGGAAAAGGTTGGACTTGTAACGTAGTGTGATGCCAATACAAGGAAAAGGTTGGACTTGTAACGTCGTGTGATGCCAATACAAGGACAAAGATAGACTTTTAACGTGGCGTGATGCCAATACAAGGACAAAGATAAAACTTGTAACGTAGCGTGATGCCAATACAAAACAGAGGTTGATACGAAAAGATGACGGATGAGATCTACGGACGACCTATAATCCAAAGGTGAGACCGTTGATTATGATGCGACAATTGAAGGTATAAGGGATAAATGTCTGTATTGATTTCATTTGATCTAGAGTCAAAATAGACACGGGCGTGTATTTTAAAAAGATAAAACGAACGAGAGTTCAGAAAACTGACATAGACGAGTATTGGAATTTGAATTAATTGTCAAATGGGAATCAACTACCAGGTTAGAACTGGGATTAAAATTGGTGTATTGATTTTTCCGAGAATTCAGGGGTACAAGGTACTGGCACCGTTGGTTGGGCATTGTGAAGGTGAAGGTTATCAGCTAGGGCTTGGGAGAGATATCCTCTTGTGGTTGAATGTACTGCTGTCTTTGAACGATTTAGGTCTTTAGTGTAAGGTATCTGATCTAGCTTATGCTTCGTATGCATGTTTGAATTTCTTTTACCGCAAAGACCCATTCTGATAGATCAGCTACACGCTTTTGAAGATGCAATGTTATGCAGTGATAACTATATGCAATGCAAAAAAGGAAACTTCATGGGGATAAGCGAAGGCTCGTTGGGAACTGTTGCTCATCACCGGGGATGCCAATAAGAACTAGCGCTGGAAACTCATGGTACCAAAGATCATTGGGGATACTAATAAGAATTTGTACTGGGGAGCTCATGATACCGAATATTATTGATGACTTCGCTGAAGATTGAATTACTGACGAAGCGAGTTTTCAGGTACGTCGCTGAATTCTGAATCATATTATCGGGGACCCTACATCCTGAACCTCTCGGAGGATGGTAGAACTGAATATGTCGAGGAATAAATATCGAACACCATGTGGATCTCTTAGAGTACATGCCCAAAGTTTACGCCACATTGGGGAACTACCTCTTAAATCACTTAGGGATAAAAAGATGGACATGGACGTCTGTGAATGCCCCAATTTAACTCTACGAATGCCTCTGTTTACTCCCCTGGGGATATACTTGCGCGTGCTAAGTCAAACAACGACTCTGAACTTTCTGAATTCTCTTGGGGACTCGGGTTTGAAATTGTCTATAGTAGATGAAGGCGGATACACGTGCTGGCCAGGTCAGGGTGACTGTTATCAGTTGCTACCTGCAATAAAACAACACTTGGAATGCATACGACACTCCCTCGTGGTTATACATCAACGTAAGGTTAAGCTTTATATTAGCTTGGGAGTTTTTATTTCCCATATTTCTAATGCAATGTTTAATAACGAATAAAATACATTTCGCATAAAAAAACATTTTATGATAATAAAAGACAACTTTTTGATGAAAACAAACTTTATTGATTGGTCCATTGTTGTACCCCAATTTGTTCCCCTAAGATCCCTTCAATATAACATGTTGATTCAATTACAACAAGATCACATTAGGGCTTTCGGTTCTCCTCCCTATCTTTAGCTTTGCTCTTTGAGAGATCACCAAGCACCTTGACCTGTTTTTCTCTTGTGATTATGCATGTTTTGTTTTGACTTTCTTTCTAATTAACAAAATGCAATGTTGGTTTGTCTTACTTGTTAATAATGTAGGTAAAGACAATATGGCTTAGCAAGTTGATCCATGGGTTCATGAGTTTATTTCCATGCCCTAGTAAATAAAGTTTGAGAAATCCAAACCTCACCATTGAAGTTATTTTGGAAGAAATGGGATGGCAAGGTTTATTTTGGTCCACTACATTTCAAAGTTATCAAAATTGATTCAAAAGTACAAGGGGTTGATTGAAGAAGTTGTCATGGTTGGACAATGTCTTGTTCCCATTGGTCACAAGTGCATATTTCTCTCAATTCTCAAGATATGGAAGTGGTTTTTGTTGATATGAGTTCTCATTATTATCCTCAACAACTTCTATCTACAAAGTAAAAGTGTTGGTACAAGAAGGTTGTTCAAAATTGTCAAAGTTCCTCAAAGCATTTTCTTGATCTAGGAGCTAGGGTTTTGAACTTCAAAGAAGTATATCTTGCTCATCTTTTGGTCTTTTTGAGTGATTCCAGAAACATATTTCTCTTAAAATGGTTATTAACAAATCACTTCAAAAGTTTCAAGGAATTTTCATGTGGAAGAAACTTGATGATGAAGAAAGATTACAAGTCCTCCAGATGAACCCCCAACTTTCCATGTGTGACTTCAAATGATCATAACTTGGTCAATTTTTTATCATCTTGAGCCCACTCTTTTTCCACAATGATCTTGAGGATGTGAACTTTATTCCTTCTTTTATATTCAAAATGAGAAAATGGATGGAAGATGCCCTAAGGATACAAAAGATTATAGGTCATTTCATGATGTTTTTTGCCAACTTCAAAAATTTATAACTCTCTCAATTTTTGGATATTTTGAATGGTTCAAGTTTCAAAATGTCATTCAAGAGGTCTATTTCATTCCATCTTTTTTAGTCAAGAGCAAATTCCAAGTGTAAGTCCATGTTTGGATGCAAAACATTATAGGTCACTTTTGAAGACAAATTTGAAATATTTCTAAGTATGGAAAGTCAACCTTTTTCCCCCAACATTGACTCAATGCAACTTTCAGCTCAAGCATCCATTTGATTTATTATTCTTCCATTTCAAAGCTTGTAACCTCATCTTTCTAAAGCATCAAGAATCATGCCCCAAGACCCCTTGAGTTGAAATTGCCATTATTTTGAAATTGGTAACTTGGAACTGAATTTCTCACAAAGTCAGAATTTTGAAATCCATAATATGGCATTTAATCACAAGATTTATGCGTGTTTTTGATCTAAACTTGATTAACAAACTTGCTAGAAGTGTTTAGCACCTCAAAACGCAAAGATTGGATGAGTTTTAGTGAAAATGAGATCACACTTCACTCGTGCACCA